CTGTACCCCTCCCCCATAGCAGTGATGTGATAAGATCCTCAAACATCCGTATGCACAACGTCAAAAGGAATACTACTTCTCTTATTACTCAATGAATAGGTTGTTCTACAATGCTTTGCAAGTTCACAACTTTCACACTTCAAACTAGACATCTGGATAGATTCAAATAAACTAGGAAACAAGCTTTTCAAAGACCTAAAGGATAAATGACCGAAGCGGTTATGCCAAATCGTAACTTAACCAACAGATTGAGAAACAAAAAACCCCCTGACTTCACTACCTTCCCATTGTGAACTTCCTCCAAGCAGATAGATCCCATTTGTCTCACGGCCAGTCCCAATCACCTTCCTTGTCTCCAAATCCCGAAAAACACATCAATCAGGATAAAAGGTTACTAAACAAATCTGGTTTTTAGTAATGCTGCTAACTAAAAGTAAATTAGTACTAAGTTTAGGAACATGCAGAACAGAAGACAAGGAAATGAGACAACTTGATGTCTCCCTTGCCAGAAATGGAAACAAGTGAACCATCAGCAATAGACACCTTGTCTCTACCAAAGGATAAGTGATAGGTGGTAAATAGTGAGGGCAAGCCAGTCATATGATCAGATGCACCTGAGTCTATTGCCCAACAATGTGCAGTGTTACCTGGAACTGAAGCATAATAAGTTGAGGCCCATGTACTTGAATGAGCAAATGCTGAGGTGGGAGGAAATGATGTTGTAACTAGCTGAGATGATGATGTTGAATTACCAACCTCTTTTTCCAACTGAGTCAAGGCAACTCGAATAGCAGCTAGAGTGTCTAATGATGTTGCTCTTGTGCCTGATGAAGATGCACAATCAGTAGTAGTAACAACCATATTAGCATTCCCTTTTTTGTTTCTGAGTTTTGCTGAAACTAGATGATGATGTAGCTTCCAACAGGTTTCTTGCAATGTTCCCATATTAGGTCCCTCTTGTCTTCCTTCTTCATATCTCTCTCCTTATCCCCCCCAAACTTGGGTTTAGTTGTTGCCAAGGCTGATTCAAGTGGCGGATGCTGTAACATAACTTTCCTTCTACTCTCTTCACTATGCACTAGAGAGTAAACTTGTGATAAGGTCACACTATCTCTTGTTAGAAGTTGTTGTCTCAAAATGTCATACTCATAATTCAGACCAGCTAGAAACTCAAATACCCTATTGGTTTCAACATGCTTTTTGTAAGTCAGTGCATCCTTCTAACTTTCCCACTCAATTGTTTCTAAGTGATCAATTTCATGCCACATTGATTTCAAGGTTGAAAAATAAAAAGAGATTGGCTTCTTTCCTTGTTTAAGGTTTTTTACCTTACATTTTAGCTCATAAGCCCTAGCAACATTGAGGGGTTGGGAGTAGGTTTCTTTCATGATATCCCAAATTTCCTTGGTTGTTTTTGCCCATAAATAATTTCGGCTGATATGTGGCTACATGGAGTTACATAGCAGCACAGCCATGTCATAACCAAATAGTTCTCCTTAAACCATTTGGTATACATTTGGTCCTCCTTGGCTGGTTCCTTTACATCACCCAGCAAATAACTTAGCTTTCCTTTACCCCCAATAGCCATCATGGCTGATTGGGCCCACTCTAAGTAGTTTGATCCATCAAATTTTACAGTGGTAATCTAAAAACTGTTCTCAGGTATGCTACCAGCACCACCAGCCCCTAAAAAGCTTTCCCCTTCTCTTAAACTCCATTCTTTGTCAAGAAAAGGTTAAAGAATGCCTCTTGTATTACTGAGACTAGGTAATTACACCCAGAATTTGCTAACAGCCGAACCTAAGGTCAAGAAAAATACTTTTTTATCACTAAGACTAGGTAATCTCACCCAGAATTTGTTAACAGCCGAACCTACTTCACCCTTCTAGGTTGGCAATCCACCCAGGAAGAAAAAAAAATCTGATAACCTTCCAAAGAACCAAAAAACAACTTAGAGTGCAAGGCTGAAACTGAACTAACTGCAGCCCTTGGAACCAATCAAGAAACTAGAGTCTTAAACCTAGAACCAGTCAAAGGTCAAGAAACAAGCCAAGAATTCAATCAATAGCTAGAGAAAAAATAAAAAAAAAGGAGAAGAAGAAGAAGAAGAAGAAAAGATGGGATCTCTCAGCCGCACCTCTTAAGGTAACCAGAAAAACTATTCTTTTAATGCATCAATCACAAAGAACAGTTCAGGAGAAAAAATCTCTCAGCCAAACCTCTTGAAATAACCAGAAAAGGGTGTTTTCTTCAGGAAATTTCTCAGCCGCACCTCTTAAAATAACCAGAAAAGGTGTTCCTTTTAATAGATCAATATCAAAACTTAACTTACTTCAGTAAAACTGGCCGCAACCTTCAAAATCAAGTCTGAACCCCAATCTTGAAGGTTCTTCCTTCTGCTTGACTCTTCCTGATTGCTGGTCATCCTCTAATGCTTAGCCGCATACTGCCAACAATCTCCAAGATTCAGCCGATGATCTTGTTTTGCTGGAAACTTTCCAATCCTAGGAAATTCTTATGCAGCCGGCCATATTAGACTACCATAAGATTTCCTAGGTTGGCTCTGATACCATGTAGTCGTATGAGACTACTAACAGCCCAAGCTTTAATGTATAATCAACAAGAAACTGAGAAGATGAGAGAAAATGACTGAATGAGAGGAGAAAGAGAGAAGAGGAGAAGAAGAATTTGAAGGAGTTTTTAGAAAAGGAGAGGATGCTTTATCTGCTGCCCCCCTCTTTCTATTTATATTAATTCTTAAATAAAGATAAGATTACTTACATGGCAAAAATAAAATACTAATAAAAGATTAATAACTAATTGTAGACTGACTCAAATAACTAATTGTAGACTGACACAAACAATTGACTGTATACAAGTACAATAAAGTGATGGAGACCACATCAGTTGTCTCTACAGTATTCAAATGACCATAGAGAAGTGATCATAGCATATCCAGACTCGATAATAGGCCTTGGAGCCAGAGGAAAGGTCGGCATAGTTTTCAAGGCGCCAAGGCAAGGCTAGGCAACAGGGGCGCCTTGTCGCCTAGGCGACAGATTTTTTTAAGTGAAAAATACATATCCTGGGTAGTTCCCTAGGTTTCATAACCATTTTTCCTTAATAACTATCCATAATTTTCATAAGAAAATTATAAACTTCATGTTTATGTCTAGAAAATCAACATATTTATGAGAAGAAAAAGAAGAAAGAAAAGAAATTTCAAAAAATATGGGGACTGAACCCCTATTTTTGTGTTGATTAGACTTCAACATAAAATAATAAGAAATGTTTGTGTTGATTAAAAGAAATGTCTTGATTAGACTTCAAATTCTGAAGTCTTTGAGGGTTCAATACAGAAGTTAGCAATGATTGTGTTGATTAAACCCTAACAAATAAGAAAAAAATAAAAAGAAATTAGTTTATAAACACAAAAAATGAATATTTTTGTTTAATAATGTCTATTTTATAATTGTAATCTTAAAAAAGTAACAATATAAAAGTATTTTATAAGACAGTATACAAAACTGCTAGGCGACTGGGCGAGGTGAGCCTCCAAGGGCGCCTTGTCGCTTAGGAGTCGTCGCCTTGACAACTATGAAGGTCGGTAACTGATAAGAGATTATCTTGGCTGCAGAACCCTAGTGAGGAGACTGGTTTTGCTTTTCTCCCTGGCCCTAGTGAGAAAGAAGACCGAAGAAAAAACACAGAGAGAATAAAAAAGAAGGAAAAAGAAAAAAAAATCTAACAAAAACAACTACAGCAAAGAACAAAAGCATCATGTCCTGTCCAACCTTTTTTCATGGGTGGATTTTGCAGTTTCCAACCACTGGCTCAACACCTAGAAATTCTCTTTGTTTGCCATTCTTATTCTTCACCAGGACCAGCTGAGCTCTGTCTTCTGCAAGTATCAATCACACTCTTCATCTCTTCCTATTTTCATCTTGGTTCATATGTGGTTTTTTCCCCTTCTTTTAGCTATTTCTTTAAAATTTATGTGCTCTGTCCGTCTGTATCTATATCTGACTGTTGGCTTAGGTTTTATTTTCAAAAGTGAAAAGCATAGAGGCTTAATGAAGGGACTAACAGCTCGGCCTTTAGCTCGCACAAGCACCCATTGCACCAGCATTTTCACATGTTGTAAACAGGTGTCCAACTCTCCTTCTTTTAGGCATTATGCGACTGGTGCAATGTTAAAAGCATATCTTAACTGTCCATCAGGTACCTCCGGGCGTACACCTCCAATCCTTTTAAAACATTGGGCTAAATTACAAGAGCACATCAAAAGGAAGGTTGAATGATGGATGAAGGACCATAGGAGATTAAATTCATGCCTTGAAGCTAGGAATGCAATTATGCAAATGAACAAGATCACATTCTAATGCATGCAAAATGGAGAAAACAAGGACAACGATGATAGGAATGTTTTCATGCTGATGCAGAACACCGATACAGAAGTTAAAGGACAATAGACAAAAAAAGGGAAAAAAACTGAGGGTCAGAAACCAATGCAATCAGCACCAAAAAATCTCATAATGAACTGAAGCCTGCAGGCATAAGAGGAAGCACAGGCTTTGCTAGATGATGCAGCAGCAAAGATTCCATTTTTTGCTTTAATTTCATTTGGTTTCCTGAGCACCCAAAACAAATTGAGAAACATCATCTAAGAGTCCCTCTTGACTTGATAATGATAAAAAAGGCCCCACTTGCTTTGATTGATGAATGACCACTTGCTTTGATCTTTAGTCTCTAATTTATGCCAGAACTCTTTTAATTAAGGTACTTGGGTTCTTTAAGCCATTAACTTTTTTTTCTTTCAGAAATCTTTAAGCTTTCATGTAAGCCATATTCCAGTTAGAAGCCAGAAACTAAGAAGTGCAGATTATCAAGTTTAGGTAGGAATCAGAATCAAGATTATTTTTCCATTTAAAAAAAGAAATAACCAGCAAGAATAACAATATTAAAAATCAACAAAAATTAGTGACATTGTTTGAGCTAACCTTTCCGATACTATGAAGTATAAAAACTGCAATTTCATATTTTTGTTGACATCATGAATTTGGTTTTCTTTTCTGCTGGCTTAAGAATTTGGAAAGAGCACATTAAACTCTCATCAACGCTCATCATTGCACCAGCATTATCAAATTCACCACAGTAATTGGGAGCTGAGAATATTGTAACAAGTTGCCTGTCAGCAAAGAATTCATAACCATCCTCCACAACCTGGAAAGACAAAAAGGGCAAGAGAAATAAAAGAAATAAATAAAAAGCATGAATCACATAAAACAAGCAGAGAAGGTATAAAAGTCTACGATGTGGAGAGATTGTTGGACACCCAAAAGGTCTTTATATGTTCTTCTTGCCACCCTCTATGTACATGGAAATTTCAGCTTAAAACACCTTGCCATGTTACCAAAATAAACATGTCTTTAGAAGTTTCTTTAAGTAGATAATCACAGGTTTTAACAGCTCTTGTAACTCAGGGAAAATGCAAAAATCAAAGTGAGACATAGAATTATTGTAGATTTGATAAATGAACCTTGGTCAAAAAAAAAAATCCCCCATCCAGCAGACACTTTGTATCAGACACAAGGTTCCTCCACATGGCAGAAATAGGGTCTTTTTATGAGTAATGGATTTATTAATAACTATTACTATCATAATCATCATCATTATTAAAAGGTGAAATTTAATAACAAAAATGAACAAAACCCAAAGACTGTATATCCATACAACAAAAATCAAGAGGGGTCAAGAGCAAATAACCTGATGTGCACGGCAGACAAGGTCCAAATCATGTTTCATCAAGAATTCTGCCACTTTATCAGGGCCAAAAGTGTATGAAACTCCTCTATCATTCATTCCCCATCCCTTAACATCTCTACCAGGATCTGACCAGAGCAAGTCACAGAGAAGACCAGTGTCAGGAACATCAGTTGGACGGGTCAAGCTTTTAATTTGATCCAAGTTTGTCAGATCTGGGGAAAGTCCACCATGCATGCATAATATTTTGTCATCTATAAGAGCTGCCACAGGGAGGCAGTTAAAACAATCTGTGAAGTGTTTCCAAAGCCTCACATTAAACCGGCGTTTACATTCATCATAAAATCCATATATTCGATTAATAGATGCACACTCATGGTTGCCTCTTAAAAGAAAGAAGTTCTCTGGGTATTTAATCTTGTAGGCCAGTAAAAGGCATATTGTTTCCAAACTCTGCTTGCCACGATCCACGTAATCCCCCAAAAATAAATAATTGGCTAGAGGAGGTAAACCACCATACTCAAAAAGCCTTAAAAGATCACCGTATTGCCCATGAATATCACCTAAAAATCCAGAAGCAATCAGAAGAAAAGGTTAGAAAGCTCAATTTCCATGGCATTATCACCATTTACTTATCCAGTACAGGTGGAGATTTCAAAGATATAACAAACAAAGAAATCAAATTCTGAGAAACCTTGAATTATATTCTTAGTGTCACATGTGATTTGAATTGTTGGAAATCTTATAGTTATTAACACCAAATTTAGCCATTTTATCATATAACCAGAGTGCATCTTAAGTGATAATACTTCTTACCTCTATGGGCTACTTTACCAGAGGTGATGCCATACTAGTGAAGTCCAAGGTGGGTATACTATTTTTTTATTTTTTGTTAACAAGGTGGTTATACAGAATAATGAGTAGGTAATTGAACCTATCCCACATGAGCCTGTTACTTTCTTCAATATGAATCTAAGGGACATATTTAAGAAACATAGTAAAATAATATTTTAATAACAATCCCCTAAAACGACATCTAGTGAGCCTTAATCTCAATTTCTTGGGTTAGATAAAGAAATCTTTTTTTCCTTTTTTATTTAGATTTGATCAGTTTCGATAACAAATTTTAAATGTTTCAAAATGTTTTTTACCAGCAGAAAATAAGTTTTATTTCATTAAATAGTAAAGACGGTGCTCAGTACATGATGAACACAGAAATGTCAAACCCTTTCCTCAAGAACAAATGTTTTCTTGTAACTCCTTGTTTAGCTAAGGAGTCAGCAAACCCACTTCCAGTCCTTCTGATCCACTTATTCTGTTTTGAGATGTTTTATCTGTTAAATTTCTATATATTCATAGGAAGTGTACTTTAGCTGTTCATATGTTAGCCCAAAAATCTAAACATTTTGAGGATGTCTGTTATTGGTGAAATTATCCACCAGACTGGTTGGAACCTTATGTGTAGTCTATTTGTTTAGTTAATGCATTGTTTTGCTCATCTAAAAAAAAGGCATGCCCAGTTTCTCTAATGATGCAATGTCAGACAAGTATACCAAAGAAAAGATATGTGTGCTCCAACATAATCATCCCCTCTCCAGTTCAAAAGAAAACATTTACTAACGATGATACAAAACTGAAATACAATGAGGAAGGACATGTCAACAATCCAAGAAGAAAAAAGAAGAAACTGTGAAAACTAACCCCTCTATTCCACTTTTCCCATAACCCACTCACAACCCAATATGATTTTTTTTATATCTAAAAAATGTTCACCAACCTAGATGCATTTTTTTGGTACTTAACACAACACACTACAACCCAATATGATTTTGTAAAATGGTCCTTTAACCTAGAAGGTTAGGTCCTGAGAACAAAGTCTGCTCAGTTGCTACTTCCCTTACCAGTGTATTTGTCGATGAATAAGCTGATCTCAGCACCCATCTGAATGAGATATTCAAAGAGATTGCCAGAGATCTAGCCTACCTAATGTTGTGCCACAGTTCCATGGACCTAGGCTATCTCCCCTTGTCCAGCTTATAATTACTTGAATGTCTTATTCTACACAAAGATTGTCATAGACCAAAGACTGGTGCAGACATAGACCCTGCAGTAAAAAAAAGTTCTTCCTTGCTATATAATTACTTTAATTGCAAAACTGCATCCACCAAAGTTTTAATTTGGTGAAGTTGACTGGTGGAGGGGCCCATACCTAAACTACTGGGGTTCTTGTGGAGGACAAAGCTGCATGCTACCAGTTCCTAATGATATCAGTGCTGACCATCAAGAATTCCTCCAAAGTTCTTACCCAATGAACTACCCTCACCAAGATTAGCTCAATCAAATGCTTTCAGAGATAGTTGTCTTGTAGAAAATTCTTGAGTTCCACTTTTCCCAAACAGACCAAAGGATACCAGCCCTCATGCACCTCCATAAAATATCCCCTCTTTCCTTGGGAAGGGAGAAGAAAGTAGAATGAAAAGGACTACCATCTACCAGCATCCTGCTGTGGGCTCATGTCACCCACCTGAAAACAAAGAAGAGAAAACCCCCAGGTATCAATTACAAAAGAAAGGAGATTAGAAAAATAGAAGGTGGTGGTTTCACAACATGCCTCATAGAGAGCAAACATATTGGATGAAATGGCACCAAAATGGCCTTTGTTTTGAACTTTGAAGAACTTCATAGGCATTTGACTTTCAGGTGTGTCACCTTCCAACGAAAAGCCTAAAGCTTAGGAGTAGCAGGTCCAAGGCAAATTACTTGAGCAGGGTAATCAAAGGGAGGATAGGGGTAGAGGCAGGGAAATTGGGAAAACAAAGGGAGGAAGGGGGTATGGAGCAGAAACTTGAAGAATGAGGTACTGATGTTCCCAAAGTTACGACAACTCTTATCCTACTATCAGGAATGACAGGATTTAGAAAAACTTCAGCAAGCCGATCTATAAGAAATACTACATCTCATGGTCACTGGGAAGAAAATATTCTTCTGATTGTCAAAGCTTTGCTTCTTCCACCAAAACTTGAACAGGTTAATGTTGACTGATATACCTTTACATGCTAAAATACCAGTGTCAAATGTAAGTGATATGACATCAGATCCTGCATTGACACTTCTAGAGTATACTTTATAGAATTAACAGTTTTTTATTCATAGCTGTTGGCTTTTATTAAGATCAAACAAAGAATGAGTTGCAAACAAAGCATGCCTAGCATCCCCATATTTAGCCTTGCTACACCCATCTAAACCTTTTTTATCAAAAAACACAATTTTCATTAAGAGAATAGTAAACAGTGATTACAATGCAAGCAATCTGTTAGTAAGAGATAAAACCCCTTATCTCTCCCCAAGAAAAGTTTGCTTTATCTTACTTCTTACAATTGAGCCCAAAACAATTGATATCTCGCCACACCTTGTTTGGCTAAAGTATCAACCAAGGAGTTAGCACTTCATTTAACCCAAATGTAACCTTACATCCATGTCTATTGTCAGCCATTTGAATTTCTTCCTTCCATTGTTGTAACTCCATATTTTGGTCTCCTCACTTTGTAGCCAGCCCACCTAAACCTTTCTTTAGACTATTTCTTTTACTATTAACATTACATGCACAAATAATAATACTCCTTTATAGCTCAGAGAATGACATCGACAGTTAGAACTTGGAGAACAAAGCTTGGCCGGAAAGGATGAAATTGTGAACAGTTCAACAAAGACTAGAGATCGAATATAGGTTCCATTTTCAAAACCAAACAGGAGATCGGCTTAAATGATGGCAATGTGGGGTACCTTGGAGGAGGGCATATCTACTGTAAAAGTTATCAGGCCTAATAACAAACTTGTAGTATGAGGAGGGTGTTCTGGAGAGAGTGTGTTTTCTCTAAAAGTGTTTACTGAGTCATTTTGAGGGCTTAAAACCAACTTAGCATTGTCAGAATCTTGGATGAAGCAGGTCTGGTGGTGCTGAGTGACGCTAACAATTAGAACTCTCGAAGAGAGCTGTTTTCTTTTCATCTTTGCCTTTGAACCAGAAGGCTTGAATGCTCTCAAACAGGGTCGGAGAATTATCAATGGACAAAGACCATTGCTCCATGGATGGGATCAGAGGGCTATAGACAATGGTGGATCTACCTTTTTGGAATCCCTATTTTGGTACATTGCCACTTTCAAGGAGTTAGGATTAGGAGCCTTTATGACTATAGATTAGTCAAATGTTTTATCGAGGAACTTGAATTAACTTTGGTTGTTGATTTGAGCTCAATCCCCAAGACAGATCCCCAATTTTGTGGTGCTGAAAGGGAAGGTTTTGCTGATCCGTATAGCGGTGAAGGGGTCTTAGGGGTGGGAGTTTGGTTCAAAGACTAATTCTACTTCTCCCTCATGACCTGGTAAGAGGATGGTGCAACGATAGCCGCTGTTCAAACCTCTCTTGCATCCACCGATGTGAGAGTGGGTTGGACGAGATAGGAGGCCACAAAGGGTTTGGGTGGTGGTTGACAAGTAGTGGCAGTGACATTTCAAGTGAGACAACACAGGCACAACCATAAGAGGGCCATCAAAAGGGCTTCCAAGGATGGAGCTATTGAGCAAGTGGTCAGAACAGAGGCTTGGGGAGATGGCTTAGTGACAGGTCTCCATGATTCGTCAGAAACATTGGCTAGTAACCTTTCATTGGTGCTAGTAACAATGGCTGTGAACGGTGTATATGTGGCACCTCTTGCATTTCAAATTCATTTTTAAATTTTGAAATGTCTACTAATCAATTTGAGACACAGGCAGAGTTGGCATATGGGGAATGCAAGTCCAGAGAGGGTCAGGGTCAAGACCCGATTTTGATTCAAGGTCAAGTTGTGGGTACAGGATAGTGTGGGCCAAGTGTCTCTCTTGAGACCATGGCCCAAGTAAATCGTGTTGTTCTGATCAAATCGATTTGAAAGCAGCTCAAAGTGATATCGACCCAAAGAAAAGTAGGACCCAATAACATATTGTTCACAACCTGAAAGTGCTAAGCTATTCAGAGAGGTGACCAAGCAATTTGGACTTAATATTTCTTGTAGGCAATCTCATCTAAGGGAAGTGTTGCTCGCAGTCAAGAAGTTTAAGGAGGGTGGTTCTTTCAATAGAAATTTCCACCAATTGGTTGATGTTTCCCTAATGAATGCAGAGACTAGATTGTAGGGGAAGCAAGTGGTGTACATGAGGAAAGCCCAATTGCAACTTACACCCAGTTGCCAAGAGCATTTTTCTTGGAGGGGTCAGGTGAGACTCCTCTGGAGCAAGTGTACTTCAGTCATAGTTCTAAAAATGCAATTCTTACTGCAAGTTGTATGGATTCCGTGATGAATATTTCATTTTGAGGTCTGTTTGGAGTTAGCTCGGATTTGTATTTTGTGTTTGTGGCCCTCGTAGGAGTGGTAGCCAGCCTAGGCCTTTGTTTAGGGTATTAAGCTGTTGGATCTTTGTAGTGGGTGTTGTGATGGGAAAGTGTGCACCCGGTAGTTTTGTTCTTGCTCTATTGGGCCTGGTATGGTTTTAGCCCAGCTTTTTGGCTCTCCTAGATTTATGTTGC